TACGAAGGAGGGAAGCTGAATAGGGAGTTGCAGAAACCGGTCGGCCACTACTCGTCCTCTTCATAAGAGATACGCCGCATGCCGCAGATACGCGGGTACTTTTATTTTGACCGTAATGCGCTAATGAATTGATACAGCGCCGAGCGGCTGCCCCCCCCCCCTCACTCCGCGCCTCTGTTCCTTACTTTACTTCGCTTGCTTATTCCTTGCAAGGGGAGGATCACCGGCGGCGGTTGATACAGTCTCGAGAACGATCTTTCTCTAGCCTGCGACCTATTCCAGGAACATCAACACCAACGAACAACAAACGGTTTGTTTTGGATAAAAGTTAGTTTCGCTAACTGCGCTGCTGAATTTTCGAAACATTTTTCCGCAATTGATGCAAGCAAAAAGCTTGTTTCGTTTTTCCAGTGCGTCGTGGAATAAAAAAGATATAATTCATAATATTGAAACATAATATATAGAGAAAATGGAAACATGAGATGGGGTAGAAATGTGAAATATCCAAATATAACTTTCATTTTTTCTAAATAAATAATTTATATTAAATTACCGAAATGAACATAAAATTCAAGACATACGCGTAATAGGTGTAATTTATAATAAAACCGTTGAACATTATGAATCAGAAACACGATAGGTATCTTGTATCCTCTTCACTGCGAAATACAACAATACGCATTATAGCGAATTATTAATATTTATAAAAAGAATTTACAATCAAGACTTTGAGGGGAAAAAACCGTTTGTCCAGATTCGAAATTAAGCCTGGCGCAAAAGCACGGGGCTGCTTCGGATAGCGGAGGAAAATCGAAAGGAAGGATTTGCGAAGGGCGAAAAAGGGAGTCTCGATGAGGCCGGTGAAATCCGATTGGAGGGTGGGGGGAGGGGGAGGGGGCAAGACGGATGGATAACGCGCGGTAACGATAAAGAATTTAAATCTTGCTCTATCTTAGCGAGCGCCCAATAAATCCTCGATAAGACTTGATTCCACTCGAGTCGGGGGCTATTAAAGCTGCCGCGCGGCGAACGCTCTCGATCGCCGGAAGTCGCCCGTTACCGCGCGGTCAACGGTGCATAATTACTCAAAGCGTAATGATCGTCGATCCGAAAGAAGGCAATCGGATGA